ATAAGCAGTCTTGCTGAAATGATTTAGCTTTTAGAGTGCATTCTTTAAATGTCTCATTTAAAAATGAAAAAGTTGTGGTCTAAAAGAGAAATAACTTTTATTTTATACAGAAGTCAAAGGAAATTAACAAAATATTTCCCATAATTATGCCCTGTCATAAATAAGGTCATGTGTTTCTATGAACATATATGATTATGAGTTCTTTAAGGGTAGGCACCATGTCTCTGCTTTCCCCTTGGCACTGAACACACAGGATATTTAATAAATACTCCAATGTCTTAAGTGAAAAATAAGGGGTGAGGGACAGTTGAAGTGATTGATTTTAAGGCAGATTCAGGCTCTAAATTCTGGATCTATTAAAAGTAAATGATAAGCACTTGTCTTGTGATTCTAAAGAGCATGATAAAAAGCCAGGATAAGTATTTAGAAGAACTACTCTAAGGCCCTGGATAAATAACTTCAGCTTTTTCAATCTCAGTTTCCTTATCCACTGAATAAAAAAAAAAGGATTGAATTATATGATTGTTAGGGTGTCTTCCAGTACTGACCAGTCTATGATTTCATCAAGACTTTAATCTCAGAAGGAAAAAAAAAAAAAGCCTGAAATTATGGCTATTAATATAAAACACCATTAATATAAAAATATTAAAAAGAGCAACGAGAATATTTGGAGATGCTTATACTATATTCTTCATTCACTTAGTTGCTCATTCATTAATTAAAGTATATGTATTTGAATTCTTATAGGCATTTTACTAGATATTTTGAGAGGACTGAAACTTAGGGATCTTTATCAAATACCCAATACATGATGAGCTTTAGAAATGCTTATCAAATACCCAGCTCATGCTGTCCTTTCTAAGCAGAGGGGAGAGACTGCATGAATCTTAGAGTGTGTCTACCTGATTCTAGTCCAGGTTCTACCTCCAATTTTCTGGGTAAGTCACATGACATTTTTCAAGGACTGGGTTTTCTTATGGGTGATAAAGAAATTGGATTTATTCTCTGAGCATCCTTGAAGAGCTGACAGCAGACACACAGCTGAATAGAAGGCCTGGCTCCTGCTTCAGAAGGAACATCAGTTTGCTCACACTGAAGTGATCATGCCCATAGTGCTTGGGAAGGAACATGCCTAACTCGGTGCTCCACGACACATGCTTGGTGCTCTTTGCAAGGGCATAATGAATTGCACACATGGTTTTAGATATTTAGATGTATTCCACTTAGAAATAAAACTTGAGGACATGAGGACAAACTGGCCAATGAGTGTCATTCATTACAAGACTGTTTCTGATTAGGCACTGCACAGCAAACTTGAGATGCTCTAAAATCTTAGAGCTCATGTATGAAATAAAATTAATACTGGTTTTCCCAAATTAGAGAACATCTTGAAAATTTACATGACATAATCAATAATTAGTCTGAAGCCAAAATAATTTTTTCTAAACAAATTTGGATCAACCTAGAGGAAAAATTGAATTATCTTTTCATTTTCTCTACAGAAAAATTACAAAACTGTTGTCAGGTTTCAGTCCCCTCAAAATCTGAATTCTCTCTTGGATATATCAGTATCAAAGGAGAGAAATGCAGGGGAGACAACAGTAAGATAAGGGGTGGCTTCTCAAAATACATAAGGTGGGGCCTGGGCTTTAATGAAAGGGTGGAATTCAGAAATTACTAAGTGGATTCACAACTTAGGAAGAGATCACAGAGTACCTCATCCTCAAATGCATATCATAGTCTAGGCATGTCAAATGAATTTCCTCTACAGTGTCACCTCCAATTCATTGGTCCGAGTTCAATGGAGAGAGTGCCATCATCAATTGGTGATGCATGTCACTGGTCAGAAATGAGGGGAAGAGACCATGTGTGTCACATGCTTGCCTTACCTGTTCAACTCTCTCAGGGATGTGAGAAAATAACCAGAGACATTTGTTTTCAGGAGACGGTTCTAAAATCTCCCTAAATCCTACTGCCTGTGAGCTCCTCTGCCTTTCAGACACCAGTATGTGTGTGGTAGCAGGTGAAGGCATAGAGGTTTCTGGGACAATGTCAGTGAATGCAGAGAGATGTATATAGGGGCCTTTAAAGGGAGGGAGGGAGATCAGCTTGACAGGATTCCAGGTGAAGAGAGGCTCAATCTAAGAGGGTTGGATCCTCTGCATGCATTTTCTTGACTCATTATTCTTTTGGCTACAGCCCCTTTATTTTCTCATTTCTGGAAACTATCAGGTATGTCGAGGGAGGAGGATAAAGAAGCAGAAGAGCACATGCATGGCTTTGAAGCTCTTCGGGGACATGGGGTATGGAAAGGCCAAAGGGGACCTATCTGCTGGGCCCTAGGCCACCATGCCTGTGGCATTGCTCTCTGTGCACTCTGATGGGAAGTCATAGACATAAATGTACAATGCTATCAATGAAAGCCAAAACCAAGACCTTACCCTATACCAAACACTGTGCTAAGTACTTGGGGGGTACATTTTCTTTTGATCAGAAACAATGTAGCAAAATGGAAAGAGTTTGAGATCAGGCGGACCCTGGTTTGAATATGCACTCCATCACTGATCACTTGTAGAATTTGGTGTAAAATAGTTCATTTCTCTAAGCCTCTGTTAACCTACATATAAGAAGATATTATAATACCTACTGTGTATTGTTGCTTAGCGATTAGGTAGACTTTGTATAAAATGCTCACCACATAGACAACCTTCACTAAACAGATATGATTGCTCTCATGGTTATTATTATCACCTCTGATTCCTGATGAGAGCCTGGAGGAAATGATTGCCAGCTGCCAGGGATAATTAGACCAAAGAACATCCAAGAAGATTATAGACATAGGCTGTATTTGGAGGTGTTGGTGGGTCCCTGTGGCCAATAGGACAGATGGTAGAGTCAGAAATGAATGATCCTGACCCCTTGCAATAGCAACAAAAATATCCTCCCACGGCCTTGATG